CCACATATCGGTTTTTAATGCTAGGCAACGATGCAGCTGACAGAGCTGCGAAGTATGGAGTGTCATTACACCCGCAGGCCAGTGCGGATGAGATGGCGCAGGTAGACAGAGTCGTCTCAGCTGCTCGTGCCGTTTGCGGAGTAGCCGCAGCAGTGCTCCCGAGCTGGCCGAAGCTCGATCTCAGGGATGTCGCGCGAGCCATTCCCATGCCTCCTGCGTCCTCCTCTGAGTCATCCTTCGACCACCAATGGGAATGGCATCGCAGCGTGTGGCGTTGCATGTGCTGTCTTCGTTTTCGACGCTCCTCGGAGCGACCGCCTAGCAGTGGTTGCCGTGGCGAGCCTCCACCTGCTGTGCAAGAAATGTCGAATTTGGGTCACCGCATGCTTGCCTTGCAGTGCAGTGACCAGTCTCCGCTCTTCGTCTGCGTCAGATGTAAAGCCTACACCTGTCTCGATCCGAAATGCACTGGCCGTAACGACCTCGATCGATGGCGGCTCATGACGCGTGGTCTTCACCCTAAGCTCAAAGGGATTAGTGTGGAGCCCATGCCCGAGGTGGATGAGTAATCACTCTCCTCCTTCTTTTTCCCTCAGGTTACCTGATAGGCAGCGTCAAGTGGAAACAAAAGTCCTCCTCCTCCTCCTCCTCCTCTTCCTCCTCCTCCTCCTCCCGTCCGCTCCCTGGTGCCTCCCGACCAGGGCCAAAGGGGGCCCTGCCCTCCCCCCTCCATCCATCCCCCCTCCTGCTCCCTCTGCTCCCCCTTGCGCGATGCAGCTCCCTGTCCTGGTCCTCCTGGTCCGACTCCTCCTCCTGGATCCTCCTCCTCCTCATCCTCGAAAGCGCCCCCCCTCGTGAAGACATCTTGCCTGCTTCTGCTCCTGCTGGCAGCGCTGCCGCAAGCGGCCCCCAGGCGGGGCGGATGAATTGCTTGATGGCGGCGCCTCCGTGGATCTGGGTTCGTCAGACGCCTCGGCACTGCATTCCACCCGCACGAGGTAGCTGGTGACAATTGTTTGTTCTTTCCCGGGTCACGGCCGTTACCCGGATGGGGGGTGGGTGGGGAGGCCGGGACGGTAACGGTAACGGCGGCCGCGGCGTGCGCCCTCCCGGGTGCGTCCGCGCCACCGGCGCATCAATCGCCTGTGTACACGACAGTGCCCAATCCCTGCGTGCAACATGGCGCCACCTTAGTACACATCACAGTGCCTCCGTACACCACAAAAGCCGCGTGCACTGCGGCACCACGTCGCCCATGCACACCGCAGCGCCTGTATACTGCCGCGACCCTCCTGTATAATGGTACTCTACAGACAACATTGTGTATATTAGGATTATTAGGATTTGTTGCCAGAACACAATGGGGAAAGGGAGCGCCTCTGGAGCCAAACAAACCCCATCTTTATACAGACTTCGAAAAAAAAAAATATCAATGGATAGCGAAGCGCCTGTGAATTCCAGTTGTTCGATAGAAGGACCCCCTTTCTGGAAATTGGGGCGTCTCTGTATTCCACAGAAAAACGAACGATTTACATACTTTTTGTTGCTGGAAAATCCCAGTGGAAATTGGAGCGCCCGAAGGTTGTACACGCGTGCACCACAATGCGTGCGTACACCGCAACGCCTGTGTACACCACAGCAGCCGCGTGCAACACAGCGTCGGTGTACACCACAGTGCCTGCGTGCACCACAGCGCTTGCGTACACCACAGCGCCTGTGTACACCGCAGCAGCCGCGTGCAACAGAGCGCCAGTGTGCACCACGCTGCCTGCGTGAACCACAGCGCCTACGCACACCACAGCGCCCGCGGAAGAAGGCGCGGTGGCGCTGGGTCTACAGTCGGCACGTGCAGTAAGGTCGGGTGGTAAGGACGCAAAACCCTTGGAAGCCGAAGTTGGATCTGTGTTGCAAAAGCTGGCCCATGAAAGCGGCAAGGGACAGGCCGCAGAGGCAAGGACACAAGGGTACCCTGGAGAATGCGCGTGTCCTTAATCATTAGGCGCGTTGACTGCATCGCACTGCGACCGATCGCCGGCCAGAAGGATGACAAAGTGCCACCGCATTTTGCACTTGCAGAAGAGTGGTCGAACCAGCCTGCGGTAGCTGGGCCATCGCCAGCTGCGACGAAGACGACGACGACAACGACGACGACGACCGACGACGAAGACGACGACGTCGACGACGGCGACGGCGACGACGACGTCGACGGTGACTGCGCACGCCAAGACACGTTTGTGAGCACCTGTGCGTGCCGCTCAGACCACGCCATGCCTGTGAGCACAGCACCACACCTGCGGGGGGTCCGCTCCCAGCATGTAGGGGGGGGGGGCCAGGCCGCCCCTTCCCCGGGGCACGATCGTTAGCGTTACCCGGGGGTGGGTGGGGGGGGAGGGTAAGCCCAGGTAACGAGCGTCACGCCAGAGAGGAAATCAAAAACGCTCACCTGGAGATCCCAGACCACCTGAAGCCACTGCTGGAGCAGCTGCTGCGAGGTAGCCCGCAAGTCCAGATCTAGAGGCGTTTCGGCATCGTCATGCCTGTCCACATTTCCAGCGGGACAGGATTCCTTGGCGCTGCTAAGCCTGCGGTCGGGAACTTTTGCTGAACGTGTCGCGGCGGGGGCCCCGGCGACAAGCTACGCCATGCGAGCGGATAGCGTGTCGCTCCGCTCCACGGGGCGGGAGGCTGGGAAAGGCTCGCGACGTTGACGCTTGGGGACTCCGAGGTGTATAGCGTGTTGCACCGAAGACTGGCGGCCCAATGCTGGCGGCACGACACGCTCAGCCACAGTTCCCGACTGTATCCCCTCGAGGTGCAGGAACAGGGAGAAGTGACACCGCCAGCACCAGCGCAAGGAGCCAGGGGAGGGTCCTCCAGGGTGGTGTGGAATCCGGCCCCAATCGAGACGTCTCCAGCCTCCAGCGCGGGGAGGCATCGTGGACCCCTCGCTGGAGGTGGCCCCAATGGTGGTGGTGTCGCCTCTCCCTCCTCCGGGAGGCGAGGGACGGATGCCGCGACAAAGACCCGACGAAGAGGGCACCTGTATCCCCACTTAGGGCCTCGGGGGGTCAAGTCGGATAGCGGTTGGGATGGGGATCTGGGGACAGGTCCCACGAGGCTGAGCTTCCTCCCACGCGCCATGAGACGAAGCCAGGACGAGGAAAACAACGAGTGAGGATAAATCCAGAATATTTGATATCCCGCGGCTCTGGACGATGCCTCGGGCGCCGCGGCGTTCGCAGAGCGTTCTCTGGAACGCTCTGAGGGCGCTCCGGGACGCTCTGGAACGGACTTGCCCTCGTCCCAGCGCCGTCCGACGCCGCGTCGCAACGAGCGCCAGTCGGGCAGCGGGGGGCGAGCGGCTGCCGCTGCAACTCGCTTCCGTTGCTCTCCTCTTCTGTGGTCCTCTCTCGCCTTCCGGCCGGGGGGGCGGCGGCTGCCCGGAGCCCACCTGGCACCTCCGGCATGGCCCACACCTCTGAAGGGGCCCTGGGACACACAAATAAATACACGCAAATAGCAGGATTCCCCATCTTTTTCCATATTTTCTTGGTTTTTGTCTTCCCCCCCACTTCCCATATTTTGCAATATTTTCTGGGGAGTCGACGATTCATTGTGTCTGTGTGTTTCTTTCCCTCCTGAATCTCCTGGGCCCAGGCTGCACAGAAGGTCCGCTGCGAGATCGAGAAAACGGCACCCGAGTCCTGGCATCTCCACGCAGGCCTCTCGCTACCGTGCGCGGCTGCTGGGGCCCGCGGGCGTCAAGACTTTCGATCCCGTGCTCTCGCCCTCGGGGGAGATCGGCTGTCTGGGTCATCTGCTGCCTCTTCTGCGGAGAGTGCTTATCCTTTTCCCGCAGGGAGACCTGTCCCGAATTTCAAGGTCTGGGTTTTGTGAGCAGCTCCGACGCCTGTCTTTAGACAGGTTTCCGCGATGCTGCGCCAGTCGGCCCATGCTGCACTTGTGCGCCTCGGGGGGGAACCCTGCGGAACGAAGCTGTGGTAACAGTCCCTGTTTGCTCAACAGGGCCCAGGGAAGGTAGCAGGGGAGCCTCAGCAACGGCGGAGCAGCAGAAGCTACCTCTACTCAGATGCCTGGTCGGTGTGAATATGGTGTCGATCGAGCTGCTGAGTTGGGCAGCAAGTAGGCCTGCCAGCCCCAGCAAGGGGCGCACCTCGTGAGAATACGGGGCGGCCTCTGACTCTTCCCTGAAACTGCACTCTTCTGGAATCCTTGTGACCAGCCGCTCCAGTCAGTTTCCTCCTCTCGGGGAAAGCCGACGATCCTGGCAGGGCCGATCCTGCCCCCGAGGTCGCTGCAGGAGGCGCCGTGGTCAAGCCCGGAGGGCGCCGCGACACCGATCCTGGGCCCAGGACAGGCCTAGCCAGGACCAGGACCGGTGCAGGCGGACAGCCCGCGCCCTCCTCGTGCCCCTCCTTCCGCCCCCTTCACATTCGCCCCCCCGGACCCGCGCGGAAGCGCGTCCCGACCAAGGTGAGGGGAACTCAGCCGTGGCGACGAGGGCCCTCTGGAAGGCCCAGGGAGGGGCGGAGAGTGTCCTCCTCCTCCTGCTGCTCCTCCTCCCTTTCCTTCTCCAACCGCCGCGAGGCTTCTCTTTCTCATGTTTTTTTTCTTCTGTGGAGCCTCTGGGAGCGAGGCTCCTCCTCCTTCTCCTGCAAGCCTTTCACAAGCCGTTCCCCCAGCGGAAGAGAGCTCCTCCTCCTTCTCCTCCTCCAGATCCTCCTCCTCCTCCTCCTCCTCCTCCTCCTCCTCCCTCCTCCTCTTCCCCTCCCCCTCCCTGCCCCCTTCTTCTCCAGGCCCCCGCCCTCCTCAACGGCCCCACCCCCTCCCCTCTCTCCTTCCTGATCCCCTCTTTCCTCCTCCCCTCCCCACGCCTTCCTTCCTCCCCCCCCCCCCCCTCCCATCACCTCTCCTCCGACCTCCCGGAGCCCGCCCTCTGGCTCCATTCCCGCGCTGGGGCCCGCGGGGGGGGGGAGGCCTCAGGCGGGGAGCCCGCCGCGGCGCGGGCCCCGGACGTTCGAGGCCTGGCCGCCGGCGCCGGGAGCCGGCAGCGGGGGTGCGCCCGTGCCCGCGGTGGTGGGCGGGAGGGGGGGCAGAGAGGGGAGGGGAGGGGCCAAGGATGGGCTGGGTGGAGAGAGGAGAGGAGGGTAGGGGCCTGGGCGGAGAGGGGAGTGGACAGGCCCGGGAGGAGAGGGGAGCGGAGGGGAGTTTGCTTGTTCCCGCGAAGATTCAGCCACCCTCGTCGGTCCCCTCGTCGGAGGAAGGGAGGGGAGGTGGAGAGATGAGGCGAGGGAGGGAAGACAGAGAGGGGGGGGCGAGACGGGAGGGGAGGGAAGGTGGTCGCGCGTGCGTGCAAGCGGGCATTGGCGCCCACGCGCGCTTGCAAACAAGCCAAGGGGGGGGGGGGGGGGCGCGCGTGCGTGCCAGCGGGCCAGGGTGGCCGCCCGTGCGTGCACATGCTTGAAAGGGCTCACACGGGCGCGCACACGGGCCAGGGTGGCGGAAGAGCGCGAGGAGGGAGGAGAAGGAAAGAGGAAGGGGGGAAGAGGAAGGATGAGAGGAAGGGGGTAAGAGGAGGGAGGAGAAATAAAGAGGAAGGGGGGAAGAGGAAGGATGAGAGAGAGCAGAACGAGGAGAAGGATCAGAGTAATCCCGTTCAAGATGCATCACCGATGTTGCACAACACTCACCAGTCCCTGGTCCCATCCTAGTAAGACGCTGCAGACTTCGCCTTCATTGCGAGAAACACCTCCTGGAAACACGAGTGCCGTGTGGGCCTGTCAACAGGCGGGACCACGAAATTGAAAATGAACCGCATTGCAAATTCTAGCGAATTCATAACAATGCAATTCAACGACGTGTCCAGCGAGAACCCCGCATTGAAAAAGAACCAACAGCCCATCCGTGCAGTAGTTGCACACGCTTGCACGTATGGTTATCCAATGTGAAGGTAAACATGCTCGATACGTTTTGAGCGAGAGCTACATGTTGTAGACACGCCGTCCTCCATCCTTGTAGTTGTTGGAAGCTTGAAGACAAATCTGTGCGGCGCTGGGGCAAGACTCCACTACCAAACGCCCTTTACCACGAATGCGCGCTGCACCCGAGAGTCCCATTTTGGAATGGAACCACCCTCCACCATTGTTACCTTCCACAATGTTTGTAACTGCTGCAAGCTTTGAGGAAGAACGTGCGCGGCGCTCCAGCGAGAATCCCATCTTGAAGACGATCCCCTTCACCGGTGTAACGGCTGCAAACTCACAAGACGAATGTGCGCGGCGCTTAGGCGAGAGACCCATGTTGAACGCAACTCCGCCACCATCCGCGTAGCTGTTGCATCTTTCGCCGCAAGATCAGAAGTGGTGAGGGAGCCTCAAGCGAAACGCCTGGCCCGCTCTACCAACGCGTGTGTGGGGTGCGACGGCTGAACCACTTACCTGGAAGGCAAAGGGATGGAAGCGGAGGGGGAGGGAGACAAGGGGAAGGACGAGGGCAGGGAGGAGGGGTAGGAGGGGGGGGAGGACGTGGGGAAGCGGATGGGGGGGAAGGAGTCGGAGGAGAGGGGGAGGAGAAGGAGGAGAAGGAGGAGAGGGGGAGGCGGTCCATCAGCCGCCACAGACCCTGACGAGGGCTCCAGTCCTCGAGGGAAGCTGCGGCAACTTCACGAGCAGGCCCACGCTCCCAGAAGGAGGAGCCGCCGAAGAGAAGGAGGGGGAGGAGTGGAGTGGAAGGGAAGGAGGAGGCGGCCGAGGAGGAGGAGGGCAGAGGACGATCGGATCGGATTGGATCGGCAGTCCACGCAAGCTTCCCGGGGGGCGAGGGGAGGAGGGGGAGGAAGAGGAGGAAAGGGAGGGCACGCTTCAGTTTGGATTCCGCCAACTTCCGCCGCCTCATGCCGGTGTTTGGGGGGCGGGGCCTTCGGCAGTTGCCGCTCTCCCTGGGATCTGGACGGGTACAGGGACGGAAAAAGCTGGTGCGATCCCTGGAGAACTGCTGCCTGTCCAACATCCACAGCGGCTGTTGGACCGGCGCCTTCCTGTCTCAAACAGGACAACGCCCGCGGCAACGCCGACAGCGAGTGCTGCTCAACTTGGGCAAGAACTGCTGCGAGCCGTAGTCCCCAATCTATCCGTACCACTTCCGATGGTGCCGATGGGATCCTCGAGCCGCGGGCTCCCGACCCGTTCCCACCCGGACGTCCTCGAGCCGCGCTGGGGTATCCTGGCCCGCGACCGCGGCGCCCGCCTTGCCTTGGCTGCACTGGCCTGGGTACGGTCAGGCACTTTAGGATAGCGTGTCGCAGCGGCGGCCCTGGCGACACGCTGTGCCCTGCAAGCGGATAGCGTGTCGCTCCGCGGAGCGGGGCGGGAGGCTAGGAACAACTCGGGACGTTGGCGCTTGGGACTGGGGACATGGGTAGCGTGTCGCGCCGAGACGCGGTGAGCCAGAACCAGCGGAGCGACACGCCAATCGAAATATCCTGACCGCAAGCTCTGGCGCACCACCACAGCTGCGTCTTCTGCCCGATCCGGGTCTGGCGTGGCCCCTCTGCACGACTTGCTTGCAGAGCCCGAGGCTGCCACCACTTCACGTGAAGTGGTTCATGTTCTGTGCGGGGCCCTCTCCTTTGGCCCTCCTCCGCAACCGCCCTCTCCGTTTCCTCACCTATCCAGTGCGCACAAGTGACTCGGCCACGGTGCGGCAATGTGACAACTTTGACAGAAACGTTTAGTGGATCACTCGCGCCGGTGCTGGGGGACGGCGAAACCGCCCACACACTCGTGCGAACAATTGACCACGCGCACAAGCACGCGCACGCCCTCGCGCACACGTGCTCTTCCAGGCGCCCACCAGCGCAAACACACACACACACACACACACACACACACACACACACACACACACGCGCGCGCGCGCGCGCGCGCACGCGCACGCACGCACGCACACACAGACACACACGGAGCGTTTTCTAAGAGCCGCACGCGTGTGAGGCACCTCGCGGCCTGGGCCCTTACGCCTGTTCAGACTGCGTAGCTGAGATGTGTGGAACGGCGCCAGGTCCAGCACGCCGGGAGACTGCGGAGCAGCACGGGAAGTGCGGGAGGGCGGTGGACCCGATGGTGAGAGCCAGGGAGAGAAGGAGGGGGATAGGCGCCGCGCACAAGGCAGGCGGCCCCGGCATCGAGCCGACGAGGCGGATCGGATCGACCCCGGCCTCGGATCCCCAGGAATCCTTCGCGACATCGGCAGACATCGGAAAGGCTGGAGTTAGATCCGAGCCTTCCTCCCTCACACCATGCCGTCCGTACAGTCGGGGCGTTGACCTAAGGAACCCTAAGTAAGGAACGAGGCCCCTTTCTCCCACAAGTTGAACTTCGACTTCCCATGGGAAGCCTCAGGAGAACCGAAGGTACACTGCAGAACAGGCAAGGAACACCGAGCCCCTCCCCAACGAGAAAGGTTCCTTCTTCAGGGCCCCGACTGTATCATCACCGCAGCTGCATCCCCCTCCTGCTCGTCAGCAGCCCCGCGGCGTGCCGCCCGAGAGATGCGCCGTGCGCCCCTGCGTGCCTCCTCGGGCTTCCCGAGGCCCAGCGAGCCGACGGATCTCAGGTCCTCGAAGCACTGCTGCAGGCGCTTCACCGTGGACTCCTGGGAGGCCGGGAGCGGGAGGAGGGGAGGGTGGGAAGGGGGGATGACGAACGAACAACACACACCCATACCCATAGGGAAGTCGTTGGGAGGAGGACTGGCTATGGGTATGGGTGCGGGTTGTCGGACCCTGGGGAACGCTCCCGTTCGAGCGGGGACCCCCATCCGACAACACGCACCCATAGCCCTCTCCGATCCCCCTATGGGTATGGGTGTGTGTTGTTGGTTCGTCAGGGAAGGGGTAGAAGGAAATGTTCTAGCAACAGAGAGAAGCACTTGCATGGCACGCAGGCTTTCGGATGTCCGCGTGGATGTCTCGGGTCCGCGCTGACCCCCCGCATTGGCGCGGGACGCGCGCCAGGGGCGGCTCTGGAAGCGCCGCCAGGGGCGTCCGGCGCCGACCCAAGAGAACCGCGCGGATCTCCAACAGTTCGTGCCGTGCTTCCCTAGGAAGGAAGAGGGAACTGAGCAGGGCGCAGGACTCAGGTCGTCAGATGTTGCTAGAAATGTCCCTGGCCCAGGCGCCCCAGGACTTTCCAGGAGGCCACCGCGCCCTCCACAGCAGCCCTTCGCGAGGCCTGGAAGGCCACATGGGCTCCAGAGTGGAGTGGAAAGCTGGGGGCGCCCTGGGCCAGGGACACCTTGCCTGCCGCACCTCCTCCCCATCCTCTTCCGTCTCCTCCTCCCTCTCCTCCTCTTCCCCCCCCTGCTCCTCCTCCTCCTCCTCCTCCTCCTCCTCCTCCTCCTCCTCCTCATCCTGCCCCCCCCCCCCTCCCCCTCCCCCATCCCCCCTCCTCCTCCATCCATTTTACTTACAAATCACTCCTCCCTGTCTGTAGGGCCTCACGGCGGGCTGGGCGTTTCGCTTGAGACTTCCTCGCCACTTCTGACCCTGAAGCTTGCAAGCTGCAGCAGCTTCACAGATGAAGGGCGGGTGACTTTCCAATGTGGTTCTCGCCTCAGCTCAGCGCGCATTCGTCTGAAAATGCTTGCAACAGCTTTACGGGAGGGCGGATTGTGTTCAATAAATGGCTCTCGCCTTAGCGCCGCGCGCATTCGTTAGAGAAGTTCACAACATCTTCACGGATCGAGGGCGGATGGTTTCCAAAAGGTGCCTCTCGCCTTAGCCCCCGAGAAGCCCCCAAAGGCCCCCAAGAGGCCCAAGGAGACCCCCAACATGCCTCCAAAAGGCTCCCAGGAGGCTCCTGGGAGGCCCCACAAGTGCCTCAGGAGTGCCCCCAAGTGCTCCCAAGGTAGCCCCTGCTCCTCTGCCTCCTCCTCCTCCTCCTCCTCCTCCTGATCTTCCCCGCCATCCTGCCCCAAGTGTTCCCCGAAGGGTTTCCACAACGGCTGGAAGAACACATCGATAGCTTGGTAGAGCTCCTGCCAGAACGCTCGGCCACATGGGTGATTTCAAAAGGCAGGGGGCGGCGATGATTCGCCGTAGGCTCATTAGACCGAGCATACCATAACATACCATGACAGACAAGTCATACCATACCATACCATGGCCGAACAGACCTCACCTTAGCACAACATCAAATACCACCACAAGTCACAATATGCCACACCATACCATGGCATACTGCGAAATTAATCATTAAATCACTAGAACCACGCGCGCGCTTCGCGCGAGCGTAGGTTCTAGCAAGCCCCAGGCCGACACAAGTTCACACATCCTTTGACATTGTTACCCACATATTGCATGAAAATGGGGCACACCGAAGCGTAAAACAACGCGGGCCGAAAAGAGATCTATCACATAAAATTGCACATCCATAAGACAATGCGAACCAATGCCAAGCAGTGAAGATAATCTTCTGAATGTAATGCCCACAATGGCACTTCAATGCAACGCAGTACCATGGAAACCAGATGCGAGTGCCACGCAGCGCGAAGCACAGCAAGTGGCATGAAAGGCAATGCGATGCAAAACAACTAAATGTAAAACACAACAATGCTCGCCACCGCAATGCCGTTTGCGGAGCCATGCCTGTCCACATCCGTCGGAAAACAACCACATGAAAAACAATGCAATACAATGCACAACAATGCAAGAGGCCGTGCGAAACCGAGGGTTCCGGAACCTCAAGGGTCCCAGGGATAAGGTGTGCCAAATAAGTGGTGGATGCCCCGATTCCGCCATTGGTAAACATCTATATGACGCTAGCGCACCAGCTCGTCCTTCTCCTCGCCCCCCTTCTCCTCCTCCTCCCCTTCCTCTTCCTCCTCCTCCTCCTTCTCCTCCTTCTCCTCCTCCTCCCTCTCGCAATCTATCCTCTGGCCGGTCGGCTGGCCCCGGCCGGCGACCGTTTAGATTGCCACACAGACTTCTTACGGGGAAACAAAAAAATAGGTAACGAATTCCTCCCCTCTGGCTGCGGGGCAATAACTGTCTTGGGGCGGAAAGCTGGAATTGTCGGTTCGTGTTCCCCCTCTTGGGGCCCTCGTGGGCCGTCTTGGGCGCCTTTGAGACCGTTTTGGGACCCTCTTCGTCCCTCTTGGGGACCTCTTGGAGGCCTCTTGGTCCCTCTGAGGGCGATGCGGGAGGCTTGTTGGGCAGTCCTGCAACGTCGGGCTCTTGAACACGTGAGAACGCGAAACAAAAACACTGGGAACACACACTGGTAATCAATGCTTTTGGCCTCTTGGGGGGGCTCTCTTGGAGGTCCCCTCGGAGCGCTCTTGGGGCCTCTTGGGGGCCATCATGGCGCCATCTCGGGCGGCTTTTGTGCGCTCTTGGCCCGTCTTGGCGGCCTGTGGGTGTCCGCTGTGGGCGTCGAGGAGGGCCCTGGAGGCACAGGGAACGCCCTGGAGCGTTCGGAAAGTTCCGCCGGCGCCGGGGATGAAAGTGGGCTGCGGGGGGGTGGGGGAGCTTTGAACAAGTGGAGGGCCCAGGGACCGGGGCCCCAGGCGCTCGTGTTTATATATATATATATAAAAAAAAAAAAAAGGAGCCACGCGCGCGCTTCGCGCGCGCTTCGGTTCTAGCCAGCCCCAGGCCGTGGCAAGTTCACGGATCCTCTGAAGTAGTTACCCGCAAACGGTTCGAGCATGCGGTAATGACACCGAGGCGTCAACAGAAACGCGGGTTGAACAGAGATCAGTTAATGCAATGCGAACCAACGCAACACAGTGAATTTAATGGAGTGTCAACACTGGCATTGAAATGCAGCGCAGTGCCATGGACCCAGATGCGAGCGCCATGCAGTGAGAAGCATTGCAAGCAAAAGCTTGCAAAACAAATGAAAGGCAAAGTAACGCGATGCAACACAATTAAATGCAAAGCAGAGCAATGTGCACCAAACCAAGACACATTGCGAGATGCTTACGAGCTGGCTCAAGACTTACGATTTCTGGCAACGCGCTGGCAACGCCGGCTCGTCATCTGTTTGTCGTTATACCGGGCGCCGTTTTGGAGCCTCTTGGGGCCTCTTTTGGGGCCTCTTTAAGCGTTTTGGAGCCTCCTGGGGGCCTCTTGGGGCCAAGCTGGAATTGTCGATTCGTGTTCCCCCTCTTGGGCCACTCTCGGGGCCGTCCTGAGGCCCTCGTGGACCGTTTTGGGCGCCTCCTGGGCTGTTTGGGGGCCCTCTTGGGCCGTCTTGGTAGTCTCTTGGGGACCTCTTGGGGCAACTAGGGGCAAAGTTGTAGGCTTATTCGGCCAATCTTGGAACGTCGGATTCTTGAGAACGGGTGGACGCGAACAACATGAACAAAAATACTGACAGTCAATGTTGTTTGCCACTTTGGGCCCTCTCGGAGCGCTCTTGGGGCCTCTTGGGGGCCTCTTGGGCCATCATGGGGCCATCATGGGGCCATCTTGGGCGGCTTGGTGCGCTCTTGACCCGTCTTGGCGGCCCGTGGGCGTCCGCTGCGGGCGCCGAGGAGGGCGCTGGAGGCGCAGGGGACGCCCTGGAGCGCTCGAACTCGTCTGACGTCTGCCCGAGCCAGGGACGAAAGTAGGTTGCGGGGGAGGGGGGAATTTTGGAAAAGGGGGGAAGGGGGGGCAGGGCCCAGGGCCTGGAAACATACATATATATATATATATAAACAAATCGTGTGTATATGTCGATCATACATGTATGTATGTATGTTCGTGCATATGTATATGTATATACACACACGAGTGTGTATGTGTATGTGCATGTGTACATGTATTACATGTATGTGTACATGCAAACGTATATGTATACATGTATGCAGATGAAGCCCTAATGTTCCCCCCTCGCACGCAGAAGCGCCGAGAAGGCGGAGTCGGACTGCAGGTTCCTGCGTCCACACGCCTATGCGTCAATGTAGCTACGAACCTAGTGCGCCCCAGATAGGTTGATACGAACATGCTTAATTCGTATCTTCTGTCGGGTCAGCCCTGCACGTGCAACACTGCAGAAAAAAACATGAACGGCAGCACCACGAGCAGGAAGATAAACGCAAGCAGCAGGCAGGAGGCAAGGCAGCGGCAGCAGAGGGACGGGAAACAAGGCAACGCGCTAGACTGCGAGCGCAGACCCCAAGCGGTGAGCACCCTCGAGACCCCAAAGAGAACGCTTGAATCTTGAATCTACTTTCTTAACAGAAAAACACAACTGAACATGGCATTACGGCGTACACCGGGCACTGCAGGCACATCCGGACTGGACTGCCGGCGCAGCGCCGCGGTAGTGGCGGAACCGAGCAAACAGCGCCAACCGACGGGCGTGGGCTCTGCGCGACGGGCCATGCCAGGGGGGCGAGAGG